TTTGATATGGATTGGAACCCAAATCTTTTATTGGGTGTTATTTTGTATTGATGGCCCGGGGATACGTCAGGATAGTCAGGATAGCAGCCAAGGAATTTCAGTGAGATTCAGCAATCGAGGTGAATTTCCTCACCGGGTTTAGTGGGTTTAAGGCACCAATGCCAGCCCTTATTATTTATGTTAAGATGCTAGGAGTATGCATGACCCTTGTATGTGTTATGTGCTGCTATGTATACCGGGCGCCTCGATGTCGGGCGAGGCCTTATTATTTATGATCATTGTATGTGTTAGCATGAATATATATATATATATATATATATATATATATATATATATATATATATATATATATATATATTGTATGCATATAGTGGGTGGGGCCCCATGTGTCAGGTCGGGCGTAAGAATAACAGATATGTATACCGAGCGGGGCTCGATGTCGGGTTAATCGATAATACCAATCGTTTCTTCCCAACTAGGATAAAAATTCAAATAATTCATTAATCTAACTAATTCTTTTCATTCTGAGTTAAGAGTTGACTGCTTGGTCATTCTCGTATAGTAGATGTACATCACTCTTCGGAACCACCTCAGACTATTTCTCCATCATTTTCATTTCCACATTCGTAACTCTTGAGACTCTTAGATATTACCAGTGAGGTTTACGGTTACACAACTTCTGTGTTTATGATCTTAAATTCGCTATTACCATGAATTGAGTGAAACCCAAAATCCAATACCAATTTCAAAATTGACAGTGAATAGTTTATATGTTCTAGATTTATCACCATGGAATTCACAAAAATCCACCTTCGTGGTTTGTACCTTGAAATCTCTTTTTATTTTTGTGAGATCTAAATGAAATGTTCTAGACCTAAGACCTTTCTTCCCATAAGATCCAAATTTTATTTTTTTGTATATTTCTATATTATCCAGCCACTGAGATGATTCCAAAGCATACTTGTTATAATGGCTACACTGGTCAGATAAGTACTTCTTCCTAACGTTCGGACTTATGTTGAGTTTCAGAGTGTGGTTGAAGTTGAAGCCACCCTTAAGCCTAAATGAGAAGAAGCGTTTCAATGTTTCTCAACAAACAGATGATCGTAATTCAACAGGATGCCATAAAAGCACTTCTGAGTCTCTATTGACTCCGAAGGAAGAGATCGTTGCCCGGGATCCATCTGCTTTTATGTCAATTATGACATCACAGATTCCCATATATATATATATATATATATATATATATATATATATATATATATATATATATATATATATATATATATATATATATATATATATATATATATATATATATATTTCTTTATCTTTGGCACACTCTGGCACGAAAATCCTTGTGATTTTCCAAAATTTTGGTCTCAATAATTCTGAATGGTTACTTTCATATTCGGAGAACAGGAATTAGCGATCTATTACAAAAGTACAAACTGAAACGGAAGATATTAAGGGATAAGATTATGATTTCGGCATGTGAAAATTTCAAACAGCCTGACATCATGCCGCCTGACATACGCCAACCTGTCACACCTTTTCAGGCGCTTTTTAAGGGATTATGGAGCGCTAACCACCGGATTTCTCTCACCTCTAATGATGTATAAAAGACAAATTGATGATTCATTCCATCTTACCACTCTCAAACTTTCAAAATTTTGGTGCAAGAAAAACCCCTTTCTCTCTCAGTATTGTTCATCATCTTTTTCATGATGTTACCATGGATGCTTCGTGTGACTCTCCCTGTACTGCTGATCAAACTGCTTCATTAGGCCTACTGAGTATTAAGCCCAACCTGAATCTCATCTTAGACCTCGATCCATCCAAGTATGAAGCTTTTCTCCAACCATTGATCTAGTGTCTACGACACTCTCCTGCGGCTCAAGATCTTTAAATAATAGAGAATGTTCCTTTAGTTTATCTATCAAAATCTTTCTCCATAGCTCGCTACCAGGAAAGTGGATTAATTATTACTTTCGAGGTTGGTTTTGTACAAACCTGCATCAACAAGGCCCGATTTAGCCGATTGCTAGGGTTTCCTGCTTCTAAGGATTTGATTGATCTTGAATTTGTCTCTTCTTCTGTCATATTGGAGATGTTCTAACAGATGGCTTATTTGGATAATCTTGTTATCTTGTCCACGTTCAAGAAACCCAACCTTCCTCCCATGTGGAATATGCTATTTACCCTAATTTTAAAAGCTTCTCAAAGAGGGTAACAGGTTCCGACAGTGCCTGTAAGCTCTTCCTCACCATTCTTTATGGTATCTATTTTGGAATCAACTTGGATTATGGTTCAGTTATGTGGGCTCAGCTAGTACAAAGCACTCTCTCTTCTACACGACACACTGAAATTTCGTGTGATCGTTTTTGGTCTATCATAGTTCAAAGGGCTATTGATCGTCATAACATTCCGGTGAAGTTTTCATTTATTGGCTCTCTTCTAGAGGCTATGCATAACTATGTTTCAAACGGCAACAAGCTTACCAATGAGTATAGGAAGACTCCTGCATCAGGTCCTCGTCCTTTAACACCTGAGATGCAAAAGGCTTTGGATGAAGCGAACAAGCCAAAGAAGGGTGGGAAGTGAAAGACAAAAGTAGGTCCCTCCGAACCTGTTTCTAGTCCGAAGAAAATTAAGCGAGTTGCTCGCAAGCCAATATCTCCTTCACGTGTTGCTCAGGAGGAATCAGAGTCTCAAACCCTTTCGGAGGATTTGCAGACTTGCAACGAAGGTGATGACACTACTGCTACTTCACATCCTTGGTTTCGCAATCTTCTCCTACTCGGACCAATCCTGAGGTATCTTTCTCAAAAACAACTTCTGTTCCCATAACAGATGATTTTTTCCAGGATTTTTCTCCACCTTCTCCTACTACTACCCCCATTACAATCTCACTTTGTCCGAACATCTCTATTAGAGTTTCGCAACCACAATTTCCAGCTCCATTATCTACACCCTTCTACATCGAATCCACAACAACAACAACGACCAATAGTACAGCTCCAATCTCTATCAACATATCTGATACGGGGGCTAGTGCTTCTGGTGTGTCGTTTGGTCTAGATTTCACTCCTATCTCACATCTACGAACGAATGATCTGGATACATTCTTAGGGGATGATTGAGAAGATTTTCACGATTTTCATTACAGCCCATTCACCGTTCAATAATCTAGTGATGATGAAGATGCCCCTATTACGAAAGGGCAGTTCAAAGATTTAAATGAAAAATTGGACAAAATCTTAGAATCTACAAAGTCTGCTTCCTCTTCTGAATACATGCTCGCATCTCACAGAGCATTAATAGAAAATTTGACGAAGGAGCATGCTTGATTCTTTCCAAATCCAATAAAGCTGTTGAGGATTATGAGAAGACTGATGGTTTTGAGCATTGTAACACTCTTATGGTGTACATGCAACCCTAGAAACCTTGGGTCTATGTTTGACTAAGATACATGCAAATAATTATTTTTCCAAGGTTCTTATCCTAACTAGCATGGCATGGGGTACTTGAATCAAATAAAGCTAGTAGAATTACTTACCTTGTAGTTGTAGTTGATTGCTTGGAGTTTGAGAGCCTAGCACCAATAGTGTGGATGCCTCAAATGGAAGTCACAAATCACCACAAACTTGGAAACTTGAGAGAATAGTCACAACCTTTCTTGAAATCGACCCTCTTAGTATACTCACCACAACTAGTGTGATTTCAAGAACCAAAGCCTCCTTTATATGGTGTGGTTTATTATGGTTACATCCATGTAAACCCTAATACCCATGTCTTTTTATTTCCATGAGATCCATGGGTTAAAGTTCCATGGAGTATCCATGGACTTTCCATGCAAGCCTAGCCCATTCCAAATAAGCATTAGCCCACACTATATAAATACAAGAGCCCATATTTAATTAGTCATACTTTTGATCTCTAAATTAATTCAAAATTAATTATAGATCAATACTAATTAAATAATATGATTTTATATAATATATTAGAACTTATAATATATTAACAAATCATAACTTATACTATTCTCAAAAGATTATCCATAAATTGTTCGGGTGAAGTGCAACCCAAATGGACCATGCCGGGTCGGGTCAAGTACATACCAAATATATTTATGGACTTAGACACTATATCCAACAAAAGCTTGTAAGGAAATGACTGAAAAAGTCAAAAAAACTACTTTATGAGGTTAAAACCTTCATGGGTAATTTCCAAAGCTCTTTCGAATCAAACACAACAGCTACAAAAATGTGATATACAGCCTTGGTGCCACTCTTCAAACTGAGAAAGCAGCTCTTGCAAAGGTTTGGACTGAAATTCAAAATGATCATGATGAACTACAAACATCCATAACATCCAAGATCGAAAAGCTTCAAGCCGATCTTACGACTGGAATGCTATAATAGATAAACTAGCCATCAAAACTGAAAAGGTGAATGCTTTTTCAACCCACCTCTCTCATGCCACGAAGGAGATTGATGCGCTCATGTGTGAACAGGATGTGATAAAGAGTTGTGCTGCTGATATAAACCTTTTTTTGCAAAATCTTTTTCGAAACTCATGATTCGCTGCTCACAGTTTCTGTTAGATAACATCTGACTGACAAAATTAAGTATGTATTGTCAATGCTTAATAAAATTGAAGGTGTTTCAGCTCTGCGCTCTCTTCAAAAACAAGGGAGAGAAGTAACGAAAGCATCTGGTGAACCACCTAAGAAACCATCAAGTGGATTTGATGAGCATCAACAAAATTCGAATCGTAATGATCCGAAGGGTAATGAAGCTTCGACATCAAAAGGTAAAAGAAAGATTTCTGATGATGAAGAAGAACAGGATGAAAACGCAAAGCTGGAGTGTAAGTCTCACGATGCAGAATTCGATGAGAATTTATGAATTGCCAGGGAAGCTGAAGCACAATAAAAGGCATCTCGTGAAACCCAAGAAATTTTGAAAACTCAACAGTCTCTCTTCCCTCCCTGGTCAATGGAAATAATCTTAAACGAAGCCATCGACAATCCGAGTGTTCAATGGCTGGATCCAGTTACTTCGTTTCAATTAGAAAACACTCTGGATTCACATCTGGATTTTCCTATAACTCTAAAGGCATTCCTATTTTCGAGTTTTAACAAAGTTGAGAAAGATCCTGATTCTGATCACTATGCCAATATTTTGCTTATCTCTTTTTATTTGAAGAATGTCAAGCCCCTATATGAAATATGTAGTTTTATGAAGATTACAGCTGTGAAGGTTTTTGGCCTCATTGAAACCGAAAGCTTCCTGAATGTGAGATTTAAAACAGCTAGAGGTGTTTTGAGCTTGGTGTTTGAGTTTATGCTCGCAGAACTACCATGCCTTAACCCGTTTGACTGGATATCTCTGTTTCATCTCTTACTAAAGGATGAATAGAAATATGAACCTATTGTGCCACATCTCAAAAGGATTCTAGTTTCGTACATCCAAGAATTTGGAAAATGGATGTAGAGATTGCGACAGTTTTCTGAAAGAAGCCTAATGTTAATCCAAACGAATGTTCGAATGATATTAACAAGATAAAGATCAGAAGGATAGAGAAGGATGACTGGAGTGTAATGTTTTAAAAAAGTGTGAGAGACAGCTCAAATCCTCATAAGTGTTTGGTCACCTTTTCTGACAAACATCTTTACTCCACTTCTTGCTTGAACTACACATTGGAGTTTATTGGGCAGTGCTAAATGAATGACACTGCAAGTAGGAAATGCTTTGCAGATATGATCAGATGATATATTGTAGTTCATAACACCCTGTTCGGTCTCATGCTGAAGCTCTTCAAAGTCTAGAAGCGGAAACAAATTGAAGAATCCGCCTTCCTTAATTGACACAAAGGGGGGTATTGTTGGGATATTTTGTGTTGTGTCAATTGTATTTTGTGTTAGTATAGTCTATTTTGTAATGGGTTGGGCCTTCCCACCCGTTTTTTTAATGATTTAGGATTAGACTACATATAGTGCATGCAGGCACCGTATTAGGTATCGATTGTACTTGCCTTACTGTGCCTTTACAGAGAAGTTCTTTATCGAGCTCTTCTAAAGCATTCAACAAAACTTTGATCATTGTTTTCTTTATGTGATTTACTTTTTTGTTAAGAATCTATTGATCAACTCTTATTTGTTTCTAAATGAGCCACAAGAAGGCCCATTATCTAAGTTTGGCTATAGTAGGATCGGTGTCAGCACCCGCTCCTGCAACTCTTCTGATTGCTGACGACCGCCAGGGCTGGGAAAACATTCATGTAACAAAGAGCAGGACTTTCTAGTTGACGACTGAGGAGGCACGTGTTGGGTTTTAGTTCAAATAGTTTCATAAACTTGAAAAATATGGCAATGAAAGACTTTTATATTTGAAATAACATAAACATTTTATACCCACCAAGGATTTTCTTGCAAGTTATAGAAAGATTTAAACACCAACCAAAGAAGAGATGAAGAAATAACAACTTTTGTAGTTCTTTCGGTCCTCTTGGGAGGCATGAAAGTTGATGAAGAATGTGGAACCTTTGAGACACCAACAATGAATCAACTTTATGTAGATGCTAGTCCAAAACTCTTAAACCCTTAAGCTTTAAGTTCATAACCAATATGAACTTAAATAAGGCTTGAAGATGCAAGTATTCTTGATGTTTTCTAAGTAAAACTAGAGATAATGAGGGAGGAGAAGAAGGATTCAGATTTTGCATCAAGAAAGGAACGAGCCCTCTAGCCAAATGCAAGCCCTCTTATTTATATGTATAAAGTGAAGGTATTAACCATTAGGTCTTAACACTTTAAGCACATATGTCCCCATGTCATAAACATGTCTCCTATGCTTCATTACTTTTGAATAAACTAATGGAAAACCCATACTTTTCTTCTTTTTATGCAAATCTCAAAAATTGCATAAAAGGAGGAAAGTTAGTTTAAATTTTATAAACTCAACGCTTATAAAATATAAAATTTGTCTTTTGAATAAAAGACAAAAGGTTTTTCAACTAGTCCAAAAAGTTATGCATGACTTATTAATTCATACCATATGAAATAATATAATGCTACTTACTAGAGAAAATTATTATTTCCATGAAACAAATAATTTCCAATTTAATTATAAGAGTTTTATTGAATATTTATTAAAATCAATTTCTAATAAACAATCAATTGTATCAAGTTGTTGTTAGTGTGATCCATTAATCCATATGTTATTTAGAGATATCATTTTAACATGATTCTTGAGCATACAAGACCTTTCAATCTCCCAGTAGACTCATATTAGACTGATATAGACAATGGTGAACATCTAGCAACATTTCGCTTCCCCCAAGACCATATGACTTTTTTTTGTGCCATTCTATCAATGCCTAATTCCCAAAAAGCTCAAAGCTACAATTGGTGTATAAGGTAAGTTTATCAGTTATCCCTTTGCTACAAACATCATGTTGAACATGAGATTCAGATTGCGATCAATCTCATTAGTTGTTCAACTTTTGGTAACGTACCTTAGATGTATAACTCTCAACACATAAGGGGAGCAAATCCCATCTTGACTACGTAAGCCTCTTGCATAGTTCACACCATAGCTGAAAATGGCTCTTATAACTGCCCGGTTAAGGAATATCATTTGACCATTATCAAAGCATAGTACTCCCTACACTTAAGTTCCATTATGTATCTCAGGTATTAAGGATACAAAGACAGTACATTTTTATCAAGTATCATTCATGATAGCGATCCATGAGATGATCTTGCTACGGGTCAGTTCAATACTAGTTCTCTGATAAGTACCAATGAAACTCGGTTACAACCACTTGCATACTTTCATTTAGTAAGAGTCAACCAATTCAATTCATATTATTCTTAATTCATAATTGCTCCCACAATTATAATCGACTATGAAATTTTAGAACGATAACATTATTCATGGATTAAACATGTTAATATAGAACACAACAAGTATTAATGTCATGACTATATCCCAATATGCCATAACATTATCTAATAGTTGTTGTTATAATGTTACAATATCTAAATACTAAATCCAAATCAAAAATCCATTTCTAGAATAATAAAGTCTTACAGCTAAAGTGTGATAGTTCATACTTAGCTCAAAGAATGAATTTATCAATGGATATGACAAAATTTAATTTGTTTGAACTTTGTGAATACTATCATCTCCATACTTAACTTTATTCTAAGTATAGTTAAATATCTTGGAGAATATGATTGGTGTTCTTTCGTGACATAGAGTCTCTTGGCTTGATTAAGTATACTCTCGAAGTCACAATGATTTCTATGTGATCCTTGAGTGGCATTAAGTCTCCATGTCATAAACATGTCTCCCATGCTTCATTACTTATGAATAAACTAATGGAAAGCCCATACTTTTCTTCTTTTTATGCAAATCTCAAAAATTGCATAAAAAAGAGGAAAGTTAGTTAAAAATTTATAAACTCAAGGTTTATAAAATATCAAAATTTTCTTTTGAGTAAAAGATAAAAGTTTTTTCAACTAGTCCAAAAAGTTGTGCATGACTTATTAATTCGTACCATATGAAATAATATAATGTTACTTGTTAATCAAAATTATTATTTCCATGAATCAAATAATTTCCAATTTAATTATAATAGTTTTATTGAATATTTGTTAAAATCAATTTCTAATAAATAATCAATTGTATCAAGTTGTTGTAAGTGTGACCCATTAGTATCATATGTTATTTAGCAATATCACTTTAATATGACTCTTGAGCATACAAGACCTTTAAGCGCGTTCAGCTCCTGACGTGGTGATGGGTATGTATCTTCTCCTTATCTCTTTATTTTTAGTGAATTGCTTGCTTATGTTTATGTGTTTTAATTTAGGATCGTTCCTTTTGAACGTTATTTATGCATTGGTATTGTTTGATTTGAGGGCTACCCGGTCTTTTGTATTTCTTGTGCTTAGTAAGAGATTTGCTATAGCTTCAGGGGAGCTCGATTATCCTCTTGATGTTAAGATTGTTGATCATAGGTCTGTTTAGGTTGGGTGAGTTCATTGGAATTGTACTCTTCCGTTGTTCAGTGAGCAGTATTTGGTGGATTTGGTTCCCATTCCGTTGTGTGGAAACAAGGTTATTATAGGCAAGGATTGGTTGAGCTCTAATGGGGCAGTGATCGATTGTGACCAGGAGTTGGTATGGGTTTGGAATCTGAGTGGGGGAAAGTTAGTGTTTTATGGAGAGAGATATGAGCGTGGGCCAATTTTGTGTTCAACAGCAAGGTCCATATGCTATTTTCAGCAGGGATGTTCCGAATATGTCGCCTATATTATGGATACCCAGGACAAGGGTAAGGCTACCATGGGTGATGTGGCGATTGTGTGGGATTACCCGGATGTGTTTCTGGAGGATTTTCCTGGGGTGCCTATGGAGAGCCAGGTTGAGTTTAGGATTGATTTGGTTCCTGGTGTGGCTCTGATAACCAAAGCACCGTATCGGTTGGCTCCTCCTAAGATGCAAGAGTTATCTACACAGTTGCAGGAGTTGTTAGACAAGGGATTTATTCAACCAATCAGTTCGCCTTTGGGAGTACTGATCATGTTTGTGAAGAAGAAGGACGTGTCTCATTGTATGTGTATCGACTGCTGGGAGCTGAATAATGTACTGGTGAATAACCATTATCCATTCCCGAGGATTGATGATCTTTTTGACAAATTTCAAGGTGCATCTTGGTTCTCCAAGATTGATTTGCGGTCGGGATATCATCAGGTGCGAGTTAGGGATGAGGATGTGCAGAAGACCGCTTTCCGGACTCGTTATGGTCATTATGAGTTCATGGTGATTACTTTTGGGCTCACTAATGCTCTAGTCGCATTCATGGATCTCGTAAACTGCATGCAGACCGATGCTGGATCAGTCTGTGATAGTATTCATTGATGATATCTTGGTTTATTCCAAGACTCAGGAGCAGCATTATGACCACTTGAGGGAGGTGTAGAGAGGTTGAGGAGGGATAGACTTGTCGTAAAGTTCTCTAAGTGTGAGTTTTGATTGCACGAGGTGCACTTTCTAGGGCACCTTGTCAACCAAAATGGTATTTTGGTCGATCTGGCCAAGGTTGAGGTCGTGATGCAGTGGGAGGTTCCGATGTGTTCATCTGAGATTCATAATTTTCTTGGGTTAACAGGTTATTATTGGAGATTTATCCAGGATTTCTCCAAGATAGCAGTTCCTTTAACCCGACTGATAAAGAAGACGATTCCTTTTCGCTAGGGCCTGAGCAGCATGCAGCTTTTGAGACCTTGATATCGCAATTATGTAGGGATGGCAAAAAAACCCGAACCCAATGCGGAAACCCGATTCCCGAAGTTTCCGGGCCAGGTCGGGTCAATGTTATCGGGTATTGGACCAGGTATCTGGTTCTTATCGGGTATTTTTTCGGGTTCGGGTCAGGGAGTGGGTTGTATCTACCCCGACCCAACCCATCCGGAATATATATATATATATATATATATATATATATATATATATATATATATAATATTACACTTCAGCCCCCTGGAAGACTAACGCTAACATAACTCATTCACGCTTCTCTTCTAGTCTTCTAGGTTACAACTGACATTCCAAATTGACTAAAATCAAATAGCAAGCTACGAGCCTGCGATAGATGATAGTGTGATGTGCGACGACCAGCAAGCAGCGACAGATGGATGGAGCGATCCTTTAATCGATCGAAAGATACGCAACCCATAAGAAAAAATCGAATTTCTTTCTTTTCGATCAACACCACACACAAGAAACAATCACATGTAATCAATCACATCTTTCTTTCTCTTCATTTTTTCTTGATCATAGGTAATCGATCACAGCTTGTTTGTGGTAATTTCGATTCTTGAAATCTATTTGTGGTAATTTCGATTATTGAAATCGATCATAGGTAATCTTTCTTTCTCTTCATCTTTCTTTCCCTGTACTGTTAATCTAATTTCATGGTAATTCGGATTCTTGAAATCGATTTCTTATTTAGAATTTGTGAATAACATTTTAAACATTTAGAATCTGTTAAGAATCATTTACAATCTAATTTTGTGGTAATTTGAGCTTATACATGTTCATGATTCTACCTAATAACATTTTGAACAATCATTTGACAGAAGAAACAATTAATTTTGATTATATCTAAAATAAATTATATTTATATGTTTAGTTAGGAATATATTTTAATTTTTTTTGTACAAATTATATATGTTTATATTGATCGACTTTAATCATTTATCATGTTTGGTTTATTATGTGTTTATTTCATTATCGAGACATTTAATCTTGTCTTCAATGTATTGTTTAAGCAATTAACACCTATTTAAAATCAATACAAAACTATGTTTTGCATTTGTGTGGTTAAGAATAATGTCCTGATAGGCAAATTGCATTTTGGTTTTCAAAATTTCAATTGAATTTCAAGCTCAAGTTAATAACACTTGATTTGTTATCAAACATTACCCGGTAATACCTACGAGAAGTGAATTACCAACATTCACATACAAACACACGTTTAGAACCTGTTTAGAATTGTTGAATCTGATATTACATTGGTTATTTTTTCAGGAAATATGAATTTAACCAGTCAAAATCATGCTCCAACTACAAGTAGTCAAGATGTGGGAGGTTCGGGTTCTAATCAACAAAATACTGATTTTGTGGATCGATAAGATAGGACAAATATTAATGATACAGTTTTTGATGAAGATGGAGATGAAGTTGTTGGTTTGAAAAGGGAAACACGTTCACCGGCATGGCAACATTTTATAAAATTAAAATTGAATGGTGAAGTTAAAGCAAGATGTAAATATTGATCTAAAGTGTTGGGTATAGATAGCAAGAATGGCACAAAACATTTACTTTCACATTATAAACGTTGTATACAAAAACCTTTTACAGATATTCGTCAATCTATCTGGGTGCAAGAAAAAAAAAGTATATGGTACTACAACACATCTTTCAAATTATACATTTAATGCTGATACTTCTAGGAGGGATTTAGCTGAAATGATTATTGTGCATGAGTATTCGCTTTCAATTGTAGAACATCATGGATTTAGGAAGTTTGCGGGAGGTCTTCAACCTTTGTTTAAGGTTCCTTGTCAAAACACCATCATAGAGGACATCAAAAGAATTTATGATTATGAAAGGGATAAAACAATGAGTTTGTTAGCAAAGAACAAAGGCATAATTGCAGTTATTACTGATATGTGGACATCTAATCATAAAAAAAGGGTTTATGGCAATCACAACACATTTTGTAGATCAAAATTGGAACTTGCAAAGCAAAATTCTGAGGTATATTATACTTATTTAACTACAATTTATACGTACTTATTATTTATATGTTAATATCAACATATCTATTTATATATTCTTAAATAGGTTTATTTACGTGCCTTGTCCGCATACATCTGATGTTCTTGCCGACATACTTTACGCTACCTTGTGTGATTAAAATCTTGATAGGAAAGTGTCAAAACGTACCATGGATAATTGCACCACAAATGATGCAATTATCAGGATATTATTAGAGAAACTTCCTCTAAAATCACTAATGATGAATGGTGATTTGTTTCATATGCGTTGTTGCGCACATATTCTCAAACTTATTGTACAAGATGGCTTATCTCTCATTAAATTTGAGATTGAGAGAATCAAAGAGAGTGTTGCATTTTGGTCTGCATCACCAAAGCGGGAGGAAAATTTTGTGACAACAGTAGAATAATTGGGAATACCATACTCAAAGAAGTTGATACTTGACGGAAAGACACGATTGAAATCTACATTCTAGACGTTGAGTGTTCCTATAAGCTACAAAGAGGTTTTCGATCGGGTAAAGACAAGAGACCTGAAGTATACATGTTTTCCTACATACCAGGATTTGGAGTTGTCTAGAGAGATTTGTGAAAGATTACATATTTTTTATGAGGTGACTGTTTTCTTCTCTGGTTCAAAGTATCCCACAACCAATGTTTTTTCCCTTTGATATGTGAGATTGGGTATTCTTTGCGTGAGTGGACGGAATCCCCTATTGAGGAGATTAAGGTGATGGCTGACCAAATGGTTTCTAAGTTTAATAAGTATTAGTCTGTAATTCATGGGAAAATGGTAATGGCAGTGGTTTTAGATCCATGATACAAGTTAAAGTTTGTGGAGTTACTTTTGTCTGTGCTTTATGGAGAAGAAAAGGCAAAGATTGAATTTCAAAATTTAGAGGGGTTTGTCAAAACTTTGTTTCAAGAGTACAAGTCAAGTAATGCATCCCAAAAAGGAAGAGTGAAGGTATTGTATTCTTCTTATTGTTTATATAATAAATAGAACATTATCTTAAATTATTAAGATTTTTATACTAAGAATTAGGTGTTTATGGTGGTTCAGTTCCGGGTTCATCTTCATTTGGTTCTAGTATCTCTTCCGGTCATCGTGTTGGATTCAAAAAGCTCTTATCAAATATTGCTTTTATTATTAAAGATGATGATGAATCAGGAGGTATGAGTGAGTTGGATAACTACTTGAAGGATAAATTGTTGCCTAAAGACATGGAACTTGATTTGTTAGCATGGTGGGAAACAAATGAGATTAAGTACCCGACACTACAAAGGACACCTAAAGATATATTAGCTATTCTTGTTTCCACTGTTGCCTCGGAATCATCTTTCACCACTACTGGAAGATTAGTAAGTCCTCATCGTAGTCAAATTCATCCAAAGACATTGGAGGCTTTAATGTGTGCTCAAAGTTGGTTGTTGAATGAAATTCGAGGTAGTATACCATTTTTTATTAACTATATGAAACTGTGAATCTTTTTTGCATATTAATAATATTAATTTTATACAGCAACTTGTTCTGGAGAGACCGAGGTATATTGTTGTTCTGTTGAATTTGATTATGAGGTGGAAGAGGTAAAACGACAATTCTAAAAATATTAATTTTATATAGTTTCCATGATTTTGGTTTGATTAATATTTTGTAGGAAAACACTAAAGAAAGCGGGACAACAAGTTTGGATGATTTTGTTTGATTTTGAGTTTGTAACTTTGTTTTAATGTCAATTGGTTGATGTTACAATATTAGACTATTAGTAATTTCTATTTGGTTAAATGATTTAAGAACTTATTTGGTATTTTAAGCCTATGCAACGTCTTAATTTATCATTTTGTATTTATAGTTTTTCCTTCTTCTTTTTTCTGCCATATTTCGGTTTTAGGGTTGGGTTTTCAGATAATTATCGGGTTTTGGGTTTAGGGTCGGGTTCGGGGAAAGTTTCAGCTCCGACAGGGCGCCCCGATAAGAAACTCGTCGGGTATCGGGTCGGGTTCGGGTACATATGTAGTAATCGGGTTCAGGTTTGGGAAACCATGCCCCGCCTCGAACCCGCCCCGTTATTATTCCTACAATTATGTGAGGTTCCGATTCTGATCCTGCCAGAGGGTTTTGATGATTTTGTGGTTTATTGTGATGCTTCGATCACAGGGTTGGGGGTAGTATTGATACAGAGGGGTCACGTGATCGCTTACGCTTCGAGGCACCTGATGCGTCATGAAGAAAATTATCTGACACATGATTTGGAGTTGGGGGTTGTGGTTTTTGCCCTCAAGATTTAGCGACATTACCTCTATGGAGTCCGTTTTTCTATTTACACATATGAAAAGAGCTTGAGGTGCTTGATGGATCAGTTAAATCTGAATATGAGGTAGCGGAAATGGTTGGATGTGGTGAAGGATTACAATTAGGAGATCCTTTACCACCCGGGGAAAGCCAATGTGGTGGTCAATGCTCTCAATTGCAAGGTGGTCATGGCTCTAATCATATATATATATATATATATATATATATATATATATATATATATATATATGTGTGTGTGTGTGTGTGTGTTTTAGGATGACCGTGGTTACTCCATTGTTGGAGAAGATTTGTGAGGCACAGATCGAAGCTATGAAGGAAGAGCACCAAAAGATCGAGTGTATTGTGGGTTAGGCGGCTTCCTTCAATTATGATAGTCATAGATTGTTGACTATGCATCAATGATTTTGGGTTCCCTATTGGGGCGGTGTGCGCCAGATTCTGATGGAAGAGGCTCACAAGTCGAGGTTCTCCATTTATCCCAGGGTGACGAATAGGTATAAAGATCTTCATCCTGATTATTGGTGGCCCTGCATGAAGTGGGATGTGGCGTGGTATGTCGAGAGGTGCTTGACCTGCAGGAAGGTCAAGGCCTAATGATATGTGCATATTTAGTGTGTATTAAGTGTAGTATTTATTCATATATTAGCTAAATTGTTGCATATTATGGACAAAAGGTACTTAAAAGTGTTAAATTATGTTTTTCAGTCCAAAGATGAAGCTCGGAAGCGAAAGGAAGCAAGAGAAGCGGTTAGGAGCTCAAGAGTGGAAAGAAGAAAGAAAACACCCATAAAAGGCTTCTACTCGTCGAGTTGCTCCTTGACTCGACGAGTCCGGTCGCGGATTCAGAAAGATAAGCATTCGGAAGTCAAGATAGTTATTGGATTACGACTATTGTGAGAGGGACTCGACGAGTCACCATATGACTCGACGAGTCGGGATGCATATATAAAGATAACTCTACAATGCGAGAAGGGAGAACTCAGGGCAGTTTCAGAAGTGCTTAGCTGCGAATAAGAAGCCAGAAGAACCCTAGAAGTCGACCAAAGAAGCTAGAATCCAATCCCGGGAGTAATTAAGGCGTAATTTCACCATTCTACTTAATTCTTTTGTTTTGTCAACATGATTAAGCAACTTGAACTTATTTGTTTGCTGTTATTTACCTTAGTTATGAACTAATTTCTATAGACTTCTGTTTGGGGATACAAAGTTGACAATATGGTTTGATTGATTGGTAGGATTAATTCCAAGTTGGTGATTAATTGTTATTTTAGCTTGCTAAAGAACCTTGTGTATGAATGATAATTAATTTTCTGTTAATAGGAAGATAATTGATTAGCATGAACATCTATTGATTATCAACCTCATATGATATGTGACCACTATATCATATGTCTAGGATTAATGAATATGAAACTAGGATTAATAAGGAAATTGAGTAAACTCATGTGCAAGCTTGTAAGATGACCATCGAACAAGAGGTTAATTAAGAATAACGGATTAATTAGCTATTGCAAGTCTAACTTAACCCGAATAATTAATCTAGTAAATATAATTAAATTAAGCAATTGGCCACTGTTTGAATTAGTTTATTTGCTAAGGATTAAGGTAGTGAACACAAACTTAATCACTTGAATCGGTAACCAACGAAAGAATTAATCCATTGCACTATTACCTTAAAATCAACCATAAAGTTAACCGAGTTGAACTAAACAGAAGTTTCTTTCCCGTTATTGAATCTAGTTAATTTGTTCTTTTCTAGTCTTGCATTAGTTTTAGTTAGTAAGTTTCTAGTCTTGTAAAACTAGAGAAAAAACCCTTATTTGCTAAATTAACTTAGATAGAATTAGTTTTTAATTTAATTTGCCGTTCCCTGTGTTCGATACCCTGCTTATTTAGCTATACCACAATTGATAGGTTCACTGCCTTTTGTGTGTTATTTGATAATTAAAGTAGGATTAAAACTAAGTGAGTTTTACACACATCACCTAACATCAACGACCTCACAAAAAGATACAACCATTGGAGATTCATGTATTGAAATGGGAGGACATCACCATGGATTTTATCACGAAGCTTCCCAGGACTGCACGCGGAGTGGATTCAATATGTGTCATCATGGATCGTTTGACCAAGAGAGCGCATTTCATTCTAGTTCAGGAGAGTTTTTCTACAAAGAAATTTGTCGAGATTTATATTAGGAAGGTTGTGGCATGCCATGGGGTGTTGGTATCAGTGCTTTCTGATAGATATGTTCGATTTACTCCACATTTAGGAAGAAGTTTCATGACGAGTTGGGCACTCATCTTCATTTCAACACAACATTCCATCTGCAGACCGATGGTCAGAGTGATCGGACGATTCAGACCCTAGAGGATATGTTGCGGGCGTGTGTTCTAGATTTTGGTGGGAGTTGGGATACGTATCTTTCGTTAGCGTAATTTTCTTATAACAATAGCTATCACGCCAACATTGATCGAACTCCTTTTGAGATGCTCTACGGAGGAAATACAGGACCCATATTTGCTGGGAGGAGTTCGTTCAGTGGGTTATAGGGAGTACCGATGTGGTACTCAAGACCACTGAGATGATTCAGCAGGTTTGGAGCAGGCTCCAGACAGCTTGGAGTCGGCAGAAGATTTATGTCGATAGATGCTGGTCAGACTTAGAGTTGTAGGTGGGATATATGGTTCTCTTGAAGGTGTCACCTTGGAAAGGTGTCATCTAGTTCATGAATCCGGGTAAGGTGGGACCCAGGTACATTGGTCTTATCAGGGTTTCGGCTCAGGTGGGTTGGGTTGCTTATCTCTTGGATCTTCTAGAGGGCTCAGTTAGATTCATAGCACATTCCACATCTCTCAACTAAAAAAGTGTTTAGTAGATGATTCCACAGTGGTGCCATTGGAGGATATTCAGGTCGATGTCTGCCTTAATTATATTGAGAGATGGGTTGTGATTTTAACTTGAACTCGCCGAGTGCATTCGCCCCGACTCGGCGAGTCTGACGCTGAATCAGACTTAATTTTTGTTCTTTTTTACGCGTTTTGTTTTATTTTAGTTTGCAGTTGGTTCATGACCCGAGGATCTGCTACGCCTCTAGTTCCCCCTCTTGAAGATCCGGAAACCGCATTAAGAAGAAACAAGGGCAAAACCGTTGGAGAAATCGCTTCTTCAAAGAACTCACCACTCAAAAACCTCAAATCCGTTTTTAGCAAGAAGAGGAGTAGCAAAGCAGGAGCATCCAGTGCGTCGTTGACAACCGAAGATCTGATCCCAAAAGACACCGATTACGAGACCGAAGAAGAAAGCGAGCACACATCCGAGTTTGAAGATGACTTAGCCACCGCTATGGCTAATATTGACGAAATCCCCATGGGGGAGTGGAAGAAAAGGATGCGTGATGACACCGGCCCGGGACTTGTGGAACCCGCAATCCCCGCTACCGCTACGTTTGAACTAAAGGGCCATATTCTCGCTCAACTCAAGGAGATACCATTTCACGGGAGAGATCATGAAGACGCCTATAAGCACTTAGATGAAGTAAATGACGTGGCGGATTACTTCAATGTACCTAATGTGCCCTGCGAGATCCAGCTACTACGCATGCTTCCTGTCACATTTAAAGGAGCTGCAAAGGATTGGTTGAAGTCACTCCCTCCCGGATCAGTTACCACATGGGCCAAAATGAAAGAAGAATTCATAGATTACTTCTGCCCACCTTCCAAGATAGCCAAGCTAAAGAAAGCCATTGCCAACTTCGAGCAACAACCCGGCGAATCCCTATATGAAGCTTGGGAAAGATATAAGAGCCTACTCACCACGATCTCAATAGCCAACAAGAGGTCTCTATCTTTTATGATGGAGTGAATGTCACCACGAGGCAACTACTCGATTCACAAGGCCCACTCACCCGAAAGCCACCTCCGGAAATAAAAGAGTTAATTGAAGAATTCTCCAGGCACTTGAGAGAATACCACAACCCGAGAAATGAAGTGAGTCGAGGAGTAGTAAATTCGGTAAACGATGGTATGGCGGCGGTGATAGCTAAACTCGATAGCCTAGACCGAAGAATGACAAAAATGGATCAAACGATCCATGCTATTAGAGTTGGATGTGAAAATTGTGGCGGTCCCCATCTTACCAAGGAATGTGATCGAGACGAGAATGGAAATAAAAAGGCTCAAGTATTTTACTCCAGCGGCGATAGATACGATGAAGACTGGAGGAAACCGAAGAAGGAATGGCTCCCATACGAAGAGTACAGAAAGGCTAAGGAAGAGAAATATAAACAGAGGGAGAGGGGATATTATCAAAAGGAAGAACCGGTGACGGACAAGAAGACGAATTTAGAAGAAATACTTACAAAATTCATAACCGCGTCCGAGAAAAGACATAATGATCATGATGTGGCAATGCAAGAAACCAGAAACATGTTGAGGAATCAGCAAGCTCTATTCTCAACATTGAGAAACAGCTGGGCCAACTTGCACATCAAGTAAACGAAAGAAGACCGGGCCAACTTCCGAGCGACACC